CCTCCGGTGATGGCCCGCGCCTTGTATAATGAGTGAGGTTTCAATGGATTCTGCACATATTATTGTTATTATTAATTACTAGTAGTAGAGCGCAGAACGCAAGTAAACGAAATTTGAACTTTTAACTGCGCTTAGGATCCAGTTTGGGTTATCATCGCAATTTATCGAGACTCTGATATCACCTGGAAGGTGTTTATGACAGCCAGGTGAAGGGATTGCTGTCATTCCACATTTACAAAGGAAGAATTCTAAGTGGCCATATTCATCCAAGAAGAAATGTATAGTTCTACATGCGTCTTCAGATGCTGATCTCAAATCGATTTTTCAAAACTGCAAAACGATTCTCCAAACGGAGTATAACAGCTCGTGAGATCGGTTCCTTTGCGAGTTTGTTCATTTGCTTTTGCCTGCGACATTCTCGAAAAGACTTTTACACCCTTTCATCGATGCTTGCCTCAAATTGCTTGCACTTGGAGGTTACGAGCAAATGCTGCCAAACTTAACCACTGTTTCCTGGTCAACGTTTTTGATGATAAGTCAAACATTCTTAGTTTGCTAAGAATTTGCTCTATGGAGTAATTTGACGCCCTGACAATGAATGGCATCTGTGCTAGGCGGTTCAGTGGGTTTTATGTCGGAGAGCGAGATCAGCAAACCTATTAATTCGCTAGAAGTAAAACGAGTGAGACAGCTTTGCTCACGCCTTCTTCGAAGGCACGGGGCGGGGGGCATGGGGAGTGTGAGGTCATCGGGATCATGGACGATTACGGTATCCGTTTTGTGTTTTTGGCACGCGCTACGAGCGCCATAAACAGTCAGAAACAGTCAAGCGGGAACAGTGGATAAACTTGTAAGCATTCACAAAGGAACCGATTTCACGAGTATCTGAAAGATCGGACCACTACCGCTGAATTGCTGGGGTTCATGACTTCATTATTTGGAGAAGTGTTGAACAGATTTGGAATGTCGATTTTGGATCAGCGTTTGAAGGCACATTTCTAGATATACATACATTTCCTCTTGAATAGACATAGAGACCTAGGGTCCTTCCCCTATTAGTAACAGAATGAAAATCAGAGAGCATAAAGAGAACCGAGAAGCACACCTAAATCTCTATTTTCGCGAATTAGTGCACGCCTGCCAGCAGGGAACATGATATTTCTGCAAAAAGACAGAGTAGAGGGCAATATGGTATAGAGTCCTAATCTCCTACGAATTTCAAGGTAACTGAACTCGAAACCAAGACCGACGAAGACGTACCCACATCAGACACAGAAGAGAATGCAAGCATACCAATCGACCTCGCAGAACGTATCGAGGATCCTGTTCGAAGGTACGTCTCTCAGCCTCTTTTCCAACGTCTACATGGGTGTGGTTCACTAGAACAGAACGCGACT